TGCCAGTTGTGAGTTGCAGGGTGATATGGCTGCAAATACTACTAATACTCTATGATATCCTGAGAAGTATCACATCAGTCCATCTATCTGCACAGATACCATGTGAGATTGACAAAGCAAACAACACACGTGCCAGAGTACTGAACAAACCTCAACCTGAAAACACCTGCTGTATACAGGACGTGCCAACTGCCTTGAATTCATAGTCACAAGGTCATTGACAGGACCGTTTGGTTTCCTTTTGAATTTCAGACTGCACATCTGGCTTTGAAAGCCAGGTTCTCAGAGAAATGGAGCAAAAACAAACTAATATTTTCCTCTGTCCCTCATTCATTGGCTGATTTGGAATTGTTTCTTCACATCCATGTATGACTACACCTTCTCAGACTAATGTCTTCCTTCAGATCTTCTGTTTTCCCTGGCTCAACCACTTCGTTAACACCAATTTCCTGTTTCTCATTTCTTTCTCCTCACTCCCTCTCTCCCAGGAGCCCTGGAAGACCTGCAAACACGCAATCTTCCAGGACCAGAGATCCTATGTAACTGTGATCATCAGCCAGAATTCGGGACAAGTCTGATGCGCTAACAGACACCCCAGTAAGTAAGACTTTCTGTCATGACCTCTAAATGACAATGCTGGGTTGAAAACATCACCAAGATTTCTAATTTTCAAAACCAAGGTCCATGGTGGCAACTAATCTGACCAAGAGCTACCAAGGGGCACTCTTGGATGCTGCAGTTGAGTCTTCACTGTCTGTGCTTTCCTGTGCTCTTTCTGGCTTTGATCCTTTCTGGCTTTGGGATACAGTAGTGGATACAGGGAACAAATGTATTAATAGTTATGGTATTTTTGAAGGTTTGATTGCTATTTAGTTATACTTCAATGTGTCTGTAGTTTCCATCAGAATTTTTTTTTGTATCGTACACATTGCTTCAGAACTGCCTGCCTAGAGTGCATTATTTTGGACTTCTGGGTCCATTCATGGCTCTGTAAAACCACAGAACGTGGCAGTAGAGCTGAGAGCTGCGTTCTCAGTTCTGTAGAAACGTTTTTTTGTTCATGTTTCTTGTGTAGAATGTATGTAGATATCACGCTGTTAACAAATTATTCACACATTATTATGGGGCAAATCAATATATTTTTGTTTTTTGTGGTTTTAATCTGATTATACAGTATGCTGTGGCATTAACAGAGCAGAATGCTTTTGTTTTTCTATCCTGCTTGTTACTGGTTTGCTTTATGTTACATCTCCAGTTCCTGGGGTTTTCTTGCTATTCAGTAATCACTCACAGTGTTATATCCTTGAATGGGCGTGGCTCAATCCAACCACTATGGGAGTAAATTTGAAAGCCCTAACGGTGTTTAAAATATCCTCTACTGCAGAAAAACATTTAAATCTGCCTGATTAAATCTACCCTGAGAGACACCATGAATCCAAAATGTCTTCTGAAAAACATTTGTAGTGTAAGGCTCAGTGAAATACTGAAATATTTTCGTATGGTGCAAAGCAGTATTGTAAAACAGACAGAGTGGGTACGTTGTTGTGAAGTCATTGTTTTCCACAGACAAGGAAGATAGGTTAGATAAACTATAGTGCAGGTGGAAATATAGACTCTGTCCTGTTAAAC